GTCTGTGGAGTTTTATATCTCCAGGAATGACCCCTTCCTGGAGCCTGGAGAAATTGTCAAATTCCTGAATTCTCCAGGACGTTCCTGGAGGTCTGGCAACCCTACATTAGACAGAGACTCGACTGCAAAACATTGTTGGACCGCTCAAAACCTCTCATTTCACGCAAACTACAACATATCTCAATAGATTTCATCTCAAAGACAGTGATATGACAATGACAGTCTTCACAACAAACATTTCTGCACTTATTTTATGATTAAAATTGTTATCAAAAATAAGAAGTGTTTGTGTCGTGAATATGAATTTCATGGTCTGTTTGGACACACATTCACATCTGAATCGGTCTTCGAATAAGAGATAAGTGAAGCTTCCTTTTCGGAAGTACTCTTGACTTCGACGGCGATAATTGACGAGAAACAGTGCTGACAGCGATTCCGTCGATAGAGTTGTGCGGCGTTTGCAGCGATGAGAGACCGATGCAATTGTAGAGCAATGGAATGACCCGCAAACAAGTCTATCCCGAACCCATACCTCAACCAATCCATGGCTCACCCAAAGCCACACATATTGCAATCTCATTGCATTTACTAATTATTTAATTAATGAATTAATTGACCAAATTTGTTGGCTGCATCATTTAATTGCTGCAAATGTTTGACGTTCTTGTATTTAACAGTGTTTTCGTTAACAATACTATGATTAAGAAAAACACTTGATTTGAAATATTGAGAGCGTTTGTGCTTTCAATGAATTGTAGACTCGGATTTGATTAATTCAAAAGCGTTTTAATTGATATACAAAACGAGTGGAGAGTTGATGTGTCCGATGAGTGTATGCGATACGCAAATGGATGAAAGGAATGTGTGTTAGTGTGGTGTGAGTGGTCTGACTATAATTTGGTGTACTTTTTGGATATTTTTATCGGAAAATTAATGTACAAATTGAACGTAAATTTTGATTGTTTCAGATTTTTATAGATATGTGAAGCATAAAAAATTTGAGAAAAATTTTCAGTGTTAAGATTTCAAGAAAAATAAATTATAAAATGTTTTGTAAAAAGTAATTTTATTTATTTAGTTTAAATGCACTAATTTCATTTAATAAAAATAGACGATTGAGTACATTATGTGATTACTTTATCAGCATGCAATTTATAATCAATTGAACATAAATAAATTGTTTGTGTATTAGCTAACAAAAATATACTCATTTATAAATTAGGTATTAACCATAAAACAATCAACACAAGTGACCCGTTATAGTGAACTAAATGTTACGCAAAATAACTCACGTATTGTTTGATTTGGACGGAACTCTCATCAATACACCCGAACTGGTGATCAATCTATTCAGAGATTATGCAAAAAGTCACGGAAAAATACTATCCAAAGAGATTGAAAGTATGTAAAACCTTATACAAAAGTAAATCAAACAAGTAAAACAAAAGTTAAAAATTAAAAATTAATACCATGCTAATTTTAGTGGAGGTACCAAATTTCAACAATATGCAAGTGGGTTTTAACAAATTTATGGATTCACTGAACTTGGTGGATGTTCAAATTGATCGGCCACAACTCATGCAAGATATGGTAAAACAAATGTTAGCCAAACGTTACGATCTGATACCGGGTGCGGAGCGGTTAGTGAAACACCTACACCAACACGGCCTACATATGGCGATCGCCACCACAAACAGCACCCGATTTCTAACATCAGTGCGACAAAAGTTAGATCCATTCCTCAACGACGGCCATTATTTCAGTCACGTTATAACCGCCGACAATACGGGTGCTGTACTCCGCAAACCCGACCCTCAGGTCTATCACGAGTGCGTCAAACGATTTAAAGAAGCGCCCGATTCGTGTCATAACGTACTGGTGGTCGAGGACTCGATGACCGGCATTACCGGAGCAGTGGCTTCAGGAATGAAAACTCTGTTGATTAATGACCAGAAGTTGCACTTATTTCATACGATTGCAGACAAAATAACTGTTATTTGCAACACATTTGATGATTTCAAACCAGAATCAGTTGGTTTACCTCCATATGACAACTGATAGTTTCCATAAATTTTATTTAAAAGTTCCTAAAACTCTTGTAGTATACATTTAATAATAGTTCATCGAGATTATTTGTATAAAAACTTTTGATATAACTTTATCATAATTGTGTCATGAACTGTGTTACTGTCATTTATAATATAAAATTTCTTTACTGAAATTAACAGATATAATATACAGTATATCATATATTAAATAATTTTTGTTATAACATAATTTTATATTAATATAAATTTTGGAATATTATAACCCTCATTAAATTCATAATTTATTTCAATTGTTTATATAAATAGATTTTCTTGTATTTAATAAAAATTAATTACTACTGTATATACAATTATTTAATTAATTGTTAAATACATAATGTATTCTAAAGTTTACATTATTATGAATGTAATGTAAATAAAGTTACTAACATAGTGTATGCTAATATACAGAAAACGAGTTTAAGTATATATTAAATGTAATTTAATTAATTGTTAATTATACTGAATTTAATTACAATAAATAAATTTATAAAATAAGTATCTATTCAAAAATTATTATAAAAATTAAAATTAATATTTTAAATAAATTTCAGTAGAAAATCCCCTTCAAATAAAATATACAATTATCATCAAATATAATGCTTGTCATAATGTTTGGCGTCTGACCTTGATGTTTATAATAAATTACGATTAAAATCATAAGAGTAAATGTTGTTTAATAATATAAAATTAAAATCTTATCATTTTACTTTCCAATATTTTACATTATTAAGTTCATTTTAAATATTAAATATTTAATTTAATTAAGTTCATCACAAATGATAATTTAACATATGATCATATTTTATAAAACGACTGCTCAATTGTTCACATATTGTATAAATAGAGAGCGAGACTGTTGTTAATTATGAGTTTAACAAATGATTTAGCATTTATTAAAATTATTTTATTAAACAATATATTAGAGAAGTGTTTTTATAAACAAAATGGTACACAAAATAACTCACGTATTGTTTGATTTGGACGGAACTCTCATCAATACAATGGATTTATTGATTCAAGTATTTAGAGATTATGCAGAAAGTCATGGAAAGTCATTGTTGCCAGAGATTGAATGTAAGCGTAAAAATTATCAATATAATTACTTAAATAATCTAATTATTTATATAATAAATTAAAACTGATGTTCACGTGTAGCGATGATACCAAATTTGAGCAATGTCAATTCATTGATGAACAAATTCCTGGACTCAATTGGTTTAGAAGTAAACGAGCAAGATCAATATCAACTCATCTGTGACTTCTTTCAACGCGTGTATACCAAGAAGGTTCAATTGATACCGGGTGTGGAGCGGTTGGTGAAACACCTGCACCGACACGGCATACATATGGCCATAGCCTCGGGCACCAGTAGTCGATTGTTGGCCGCCTCGAGGTTACAGATGAAGCCATTTCTGGACGACGGCCTATACTTCAGTCACGGCGTCGCCTCGTTTGACGACCCGGAGGTTGTGCTCAAAAAGCCTGACCCACAGGTGTATTACGTTTGTGTGAATCGGTTTAAAACACCCCCGAAATCCAATGCAAACGTATTGATTATTGAGGACTCCCTGACCGGTATTACGGGTGCCGTCGTCTCCGGAATGAAGACTTTGTTGATTAACGACCAAAAGCTATGTTCATTCGATACAATCGCCGATAAAATAACTATTATTTGTAACACATTTAATGATTTCAAACCGGAATCAGTCGGTTTGCCTCCATATAACAAAATTTGTTAAATATTTAATGATTATTTTTTACAATTTTTTACTTTTATAAAATAAAAATTATTCTTACATTAAGTTTAAACTAATATCAGATATGATTTAAGTGTTTTACATTTAATTTAATTCACTTCATTTTACTTTAAATTTATTTAATGTGAATTTATTTCATTTCTTTAGTTTCATTACTTTCATACATTTAGTAAATTGAAAATTATATAATTTAAATAAATATATTTGAAAATTACAATTACAAAATTTAATTAATAATAATAGTAATTTATTTAATTAACTTGTTAAGACAATTGCATTTCTAAAATAATATTTTAAGAATATATTTTTATACTAACTTTTATAGTTGGTAAACCAAATTTTTGTATACTGTTTAGAATTCATTTGTAATTATTGTAAAGTATTGACTAAATTAAGCAACTGTGCATTCATTATAAGTTTTTGTACTTAAAAAAATAAAAAATATATTGTATAAATAATTAATTATATATTTTGAAATAAAAGTACCAAATAATCAAAATGTACTAAAACCAGCAAAATGTACTAAACATTATATAAATGAATTAATATTTAATAATTATTTATACAGTTAAGAAATTTAATTGGAACAATTGCTAACTTATTTTTAGTTAATATTTAAATTAAAATAAAATTGTTTAATGTACCCAACATATAATAAATATAATACAATTACATTGCAAAATAATTATTTTCAACAAATGACATTGATAATTACAATTAATATTTGGTAATGTGTTTGTATTGTAAGAAAAATCTATTATCAGATGAATTGCAAATCTATTACAACAATTTTTTAAGTAACAATAAGTTAATTCATTATAAGATCAAATGATATGAATCAATACAACAAATTTTATATAAATACATGTTATATACTGTACTATATATCAAGTAAATTCATTTTAATATTAGCGAATCGTTATAGTGTACTAAATGGCATCCGATATAACTCATGTATTGTTTGATTTGGACGGAACTCTCATCAATACACCGGAAATATTGGTGGATATCCTCAGAGATTATGCCAAAAGTCACGGAAAAGTGTTGTCCAAAGAAATTGAATGTAAGATAAAATATTTTTGCTAATTAAAATATAATTGTAAAATTGTATAATGTACTAAAATATTTAGTTGAGGTACCAAATCTGACCAATGTGCAAAATCTTTTTAAAAAGTTGCTCAGCTCACTGAACTTAATATTAAACGAAACCGAACTAAAACAACTATACCATGACATCGCCAAACGTTTAATCTCAACAAAAGTTACACTAATACCGGGTGTGGAGCGGTTGGTAAAACACCTGCACCGACACGGCATACATATGGCGATCGCCACGGCTAACAAGGGTCGAGCACTAATGGACTCGAGGTTGAAAATGAAGCCATTTCTGGACGACGGCTTATATTTCAGCCACTCTGTGGCCGGTTATGACGACCCGGAGGTCATGTTCAATAAGCCGGACCCACAGGTGTATCACATTTGCGTCAAACGTTTTACAACACCTCCGAAATCCAATGCTAACGTATTAGTAGTGGAGGACTCCCTGATCGGTATCACCGGAGCAGTGGCTTCAGGTATGAAGACTCTGTTGATAAACGACCAAAAGTTATGTTCATTCGATACGATCGCCGATAAAATAACTGTTATTTGCAAAACATTTGATGATTTCAGACCGGAATCACTCGGTTTACCCTCATATGACAAATTTATATAAGATAAATTAAAAGATTTAATAATTAAATATAAGCTTGTTAATTAATTGTAAATTAACATTTAAAAATAATTTTAATACATAAATTCTCAAACAATTATATCTACATCCAAATGCACTTTGAAATTTAAAAATGGGTGATACCTTTTGTAATAAAACAAAATGATAAAATATTTTAATTAAAAATCTTAATCTATAAATTTAAGTAATATTTTTACAACACAATAAATATTAAATAGAAAATTAATGTGCAATAATCAAATTAAATTTATTAAAATTCAAAATATTGAATTTTGGCACAAAAATATAATCATGGTACAAAATGTTTTGAGTTGCATAAATAATTTTTGTATATTTACTATTCTTTATTAATTATTATTCACAAATAAATTTTCATCAAAATAAGATAACTTTTCTAAACCATTTGCCATCGCTTTTAAGTTTTTAATTATTGAATCCAACATTCAATTTTTGCGTGATTTAAAATTTATGAAATTCATTGATAAATAAGCTTAGGATTTGGATGCTTTTTGGGTGCTTTGATCACTAAAAAACAACTAGAAATATTAAAGTTGTGTTTAATAATGCATTGAATCATTCAATGAATCAAACATTACTTGTATCTAAAAATATG